TTTCTGGAGATTTATTTTGTTCCTTTGTTTGAGACATATTTTCTTATTTCTTTATATTCCTTGAGTCTTTGTGTTTTTAGTTACACATGAGAAAAAAATATCCATCCCCTGGGTCTTCATAGACTGGTCTCATAGAGAAGAAAATCTTTCATCGATCCAGAATCCAGAGATTCTGCGGGGACTCTCAAATATGCACACCGGTCCAAACCATCGTTATTTTTTTCCATAGCAGCCCCCAACCATCTAGACTATGCTAGGTCCCACCAATATTCTGAGACAGAGGAGACAGAAGCCAATTCCGTGGGCAGCTCCCAGAAAAGTTGCTACATTGGAGACATGGTCCAAGTCTTTCATCCTCCCATCCCCAGGGAGAGAATGGTTTCTGGAGTTTTCCACTTGCTTGCTTTGTACCAAGGTGGGGCTAGGAGTTCTGGCAAAAGCACGCATGCTAGTTCAAACTACTTTATTTCAGTGGCCTCCAGGCATTTAGAGTAGACCAGGTCCCACCAGCACCAGGAGACAGGTGAAACAGAAGCAAGTACCTTGGGCAGCTCGCAGAATAGCTGGAATGGTGGATCTGTGGAATAATTCATTTGTTCCCCAAGGAGAAGCTGGGAGATGAGATTTTTTTCTGATCATATGTCACTATGCTGGGGATAATTCTTACCATTTTTCATACGGCTTGAGTTCAGGAACCTCTCAACTAGTTTCTGAATTTCTCACAAAGGAAATTTGCTCGTGTATAGTTGAATTCTCCTTGGAAAGAGGGGTCCAAGACTTTCTGTTCCATTCCAAACGAGCTTTTTGACATTATTTTCTCTGTGGTGCATGTTTTCTTTAAAGACATTAGTTTTATCTACTGTTCTCTCATCCAAGAAAAGCCTGAGCTTTCAAAAAGTATCTGTTATCTTCCACGAGAAAGCAAAAGGACTTTAAGGACCATGTGAAACCCATATTTCATAACACTAACACTTTCAATCACTTACATGTGGGTCATTATGAAAGTTCTGACATACACAAAAATCAAGAAAACATGAAATGCATGCAGAAAAGAACAAATGAAACCCTCCCAGCAATACCAATAAACTTAGCAAGTTGAAACTTTCATGAGCAAGTCAGAAAAGATGCTGTCAACTGTGTTTCTTGGCAGTGAAACAGTGGCCCGTAACAGTCTGCTTCAAAAATTTTGTAGTGACTTACTTATGTATTTCCACCTATAAGACAATAAATAACATTTTTGTTTGTTTGTTTTGTGAGACAGAGTCTCACTATATTGTCCTTGGTAGAGTGCCGTGGCGTCACAGCTCACAGCAACCTCAAACTCTTGGGCTTAAACTTGATTCTCTTGCCTCAGCCTCGAAAGTAGTTGGGACTACAGGTGCCCGCCACAAAGCCCAGCTATTTTTTTGTTGCAGTTACCATTGCTGTTTAGCTGGCCCAGGTTGGGTTTGAACCTGCCAGCCTGGGTGTATGTGGCCGGCACCCTACCCACTGAGCTATGGGCACTGCCCAAATAAATTTTATAAACTTTATTAATCATAGTCTTAGATGTAGCTTTTTTCAAAAATCAGATAGTACTGTTAAAGGTATTCAGCAGATGTTGAACCTTTGAAGATTTTTCTCCCATAGAAATTGTTACCATGTTAAGAGGTATATGTATTAGTTTTGAATGTGTGTGATTTAACTCCTGTCCTCGCTAACATGTTCAAATGTTAAACCGTGATTTCTATTCCAGTACATGCCATCTCTCCCATACTTTTCCATCTAGATGGTAAACCATTTACCTAGTTTTCTAACCCAAAACTTGTAAGTTAAGGATGACTCCTCTCTTCCTTGCACTCTCCACGTTTAATTCACTAGCATATTGGATCTGCTCTACCCGAAAACTATAGTCTAAATCTAATCACTTCTTACCACCCCCATGACTACTGCCTGGGCCAGCACTACATCTCCCACCTGGATTACTGCAATATTGACTAACTCTGTTTGGACCATGACTCGGTAAATATTTTATACTTCAAACCAGTATCCAAACACACAAGACACGTGCACACATACACACACGTAGCTGAAACAAAAATTTTATTAAGCACTATTAACTCTATATGTAATGCATTCTGATATTTCCTATTTTTTAAAATGAGTCAAAAATTGATATCAGAATTTCTAAACAGTGATCTATTGTTAAAAAAAAAAAAAAAA